TTTATGCTAAAGTTAAGCTGTAAAGCTGAACTATATTACGTAACGAACCAGATGTTCCTAGTGTGGCCTAGTGGTTAGCGTTCCTGGACAGTGATTCCAAGCGCTAAAGATTAACAATTCTTGCTGTAGAAACGCTCTCCGCACTTTGGGACTGTGCGTATATGCTAAACAGTGACGGTCAAATCTCACTATTCGATCAGACAAGAATACCCAAGAGTTGGCGGTGGGTTCTGTTGACTAATTGACTTACCTCTAGTCCTTGTGACATATCAGTTCAAAAATTATGAAATAAACGAAAATACATTACTTAATGGCGTTTGCTTATCAATCCACTAAGAGAATCCAAAAAATACCGTTTACTGGAGTCTTTTTGTCATCGTTTTTATATATCATTGTTTATTTACAAACCAAATAATATTCAAAATTATAAAACATTTAAGAATGTCTTGCATTGGAAAACGTTTCGGTAATGAAGTTCGATTTTGGAGTATTTTGATGGCATAATTTCATGTTTTATCTTATTCTTTTTAGTTAATCCAATTACGGATTTCAGACCATAGAAGATGAAAGATAAAATATCATGTTTATGTGTTTGCTAATATAAATCTCTGCTCAGAAGTTCTTTTGTCGTTTAATATTAGAAATAACCAACCCTAAGACTGCAGCTGAACAAAACCTATGAAATGCGCCTCCTGGTGGCTTAGCGGTAAATTTAAGGGCCTACAACGCTAAAATCTGGCCTCGATACCGACAATGGGCATACAGCAGATAGCCCGTTATATAGCTCTGCATTTAAGAACAAACGAACTCGTGCTGTTTACTTGTAGCACTAATGACCTACCATTAAGGTGTAAGACACGTTAGGTGAGGAGCAGCCCCCCCCCCCCCCCCACCGTGGCACAGTGGACTTACAATGCTAGAAACCAGGTTTCGATACTCGTGGTGGGCAGAGTACAGATAGCCCATTGTGTAGATTTGTGCTTAACTTCAAACAACAACAACATTAGGTGAGGAAACTGTAGTGAAACGTTTCATCATATTAGTTAGACCTAAAGAGCTTTGTCGTATTACACTTTAATAATATTTTGTTCATGTTATCATTAAATCACTTTCGTTTGCAAGAAAGCATGCTAAGGATCAGATGACAAACAAGGTATTTCAACAAGATTATTGAAGAGACTGAATTTAATAAAGTATATAGTTTTATAGTATAATATTATTGTAATTAATATTAGAATATAAAATCAATATCTCTAGTATTAACATTTTATAAGTAATAAGGCTTACTGTGTTATCAAACATTTTTGTGGTATCCTTGGTATAAATGGATTGTGTTTTTTTTTTCATATGTAGATTACACATTGTATTATACTGAAGAAGAAGGACCTTGGAAAGAGGTAACCATACCTGTTTTTGATAATAATTTCTTTGAGCTACAAGGTTTGAAACAAGGAACTTTCTACCAGATATACTTGGAGGCATCTAGTGAAAAGGGAAACAGTGATCCAAGCGAAAGGATATCGATAAGAACCGAAGGTAAAACACAAACATTGTAAACCTACTTTAGAACCATACCGGATCTTCTCCTTCAAATTAAGGTGTTCTCCTCTGTTAATGTAGTCTTAGAATCTTACAAATATCCACCTTCAAATTCACGTTTTCTCTTCTGTTAATCTAGTCTTAAAACCTTACCAAATATGATTCTTCAAATTCAAGCGTTCCCCTCTGCTAATTCTATATTGGAATCTTTCCAAATATTCACCTTCAAACGTTTATTATTAATAGATTTTTTAAATAATGACCAGTTGTGCTAAATTTGTGTGTTGTAAAAACTTGTCTCAACGTGATCAAATGCCAATATTCTTTCGCAAACTTCAGACTTTGACTCGGTTGAATCAATGGCTTTGTGTCGCAGAACCCACTAGAATATCCAATACGTATGTGAAACCGGGTATTATTTGATATCATGCAGCTAGAGGCTGTTTAAAAATCGTGTTTTTTTTTCGTCACATATTAATTCGTTTATTAACTTTCACAAGTTTATATTATTAACCCATAGATTTAACATTTAATGCTGTTCCGTTACAATGCTATCCGATGGGACAGAGGTAAGTTTACGGACTCACAACCCTAGAATCCGGGCATCAATTTCCCACGGTGTGCTCTAAAAAAACAAACAGAATAATATTTATAATTGTCTTATTTTCAAACGATACTATTTAACATATTACAGTACTGTATTCTTTACTTTATACTTTCAGTCCAGCATGGTCAGGTGGTTAGGGCGCTCGACTCGTAATCTGCGGGTCGCTACTTGGTGGAATTGACCGTCACATTATAACTCCCCCAAGACTGAAAGGGCGAGCATGTTACGAGATTACGTACTGTAATATGTTAAATAGTATCGAGTACAGAGGGAAGGCAGCTAGTCATCACCACCTATCACCAACTCTTGTCTTACACTGCTAAATTAGGGTGTAGCTTTGCGCGAAATTCATAACAAACCAACTTTATACTTTTTTCTATTACCTCCAGATACTTTGATTGTATTTGTTTCCCAACGTGAAATTATTAGCTTGACAAATGATTAAAAACTCTAATATTTGGTGTTGCTTTTAGTGGTGTGCATTCTAACTGTTTTGCGTCTCACTGTACATTTTAAAATTTATTCGTTATTGCACTGTTATTGTTTAGATTTGGTACGATTGACAATGGAAGAATACATAACTTGTTCTAGTTGTTGATTTTTTATTAATAATAAACCGTCCTTTCTTATTTTTTCTCTTCGTCAGCCGTGTCCGACTGGAAGCCTCACGTTGTGTTGAATGGTGAAGAAGACAGATCATCTCATCTGAACTGGTCGGTAGTGATTCCTGTGACATCTGCAATCGTTGTTATTGTTATTGTCATCAGCATCTCTTGCTTTTACGTAAAGAGGGAACAGTTGAAACACAGAGAAGCACTGAGTGAGTTAGATTTGTTTGATATCTTGATCATTTTGTCAACATTTGGCCCGGCATAGCCAAGTGGTTAGGGGCGCTCAACTCGCAATCTGCGGGTTCCAATCTCCGTCCCACCAAACATGTTCGCTCTTCCAGCCGTGGGGACGCTATAATATGACGATCAATCCCGCTATTCGGTGGTAAAAGAATAGCCCAAGAGTTGACGGTGGGTGGTGATGACTAACTACCTTCCCTCTAATCTTTCACTGATAAATTAGGGACAGCTAGCGCAGATAGCCCTCGTGTGGCCATGCGCGAAATTGCAACCAAACCAAACTGGTCAACAATTGAAAAAAACAGTTTAACCTGTTTGTTCTCCGAGCCCCTCCTAGTGGGACAGCGATAAGTTTACGGATTTACAACACTAAATAAGGGGTCTCAATTCTCCACAGTGGACACAGCAGCTAGCCCGATGTGGCTTTGCTATATAAACACACACACACACACACACACACACACATATTAGTCTACGTGTTAAATTAAACTAAGCACAGTGGCTCTATCAAAATTCATTTGGAATTAACCTTTTCACCACACGGGGTGAAGAGAAGCAAAAGTTTCTGACCACCCCGGGTTGTCTTTCAGGCTCCAAAATCTCTTTTGAGGCTTGAAAGATTTTTAAACCTAAATTCCTGCCACGATTTTTTTTTCCCTACAGAAATATGAGATTATTGTTAAAGTTGATTTCATTTAATTATTATTCGTTTTTTTCTTCTTTTTTTTGTAATTTATCTCATTAGACTCTCATTTATTTCATTTGCTTGTCTGTGTGTGTTTGTTTTTTTCTTCTTTTTTCAAATTTGTTTTACTTTAACACAGTATTATAATATGCCAGAATAATATCCAAAATTATTATTTGATAAGTTTCACTGTTAAGACGTCATTTAATTGATATCATTATGTTTTTTGTTTTTGATTATTTTAGTGTGTGATAACACAGTGGCTCAGTGGTAAGTCTGCTGGCTTAGAACGTTAAAAATTGTTTTTCGATACCTGTGGTGGGCAGGGCACAGATAGCCCATTGTGTAGCTTTATGCTTAACAACAACCAAAAATATATACTGTTTTCTTAAAGCAAGTAATTGTAGTGATAATAAGTTGTTATTATCTTCATTTATTTGGCTTGCTTAACTTCAATAATTAACAAAAAATCTAAAAAACAAAAATACTAGCCGTTGGTTATTAACAGTGCGGACATGTTACTGTTATATATAGCTAATACTTTTATTTTAGAGGTAAACTTTGTTGAAAAAAGGGTGATGTTTAAGATTACGCTACCTGGTGACAAGAAAAGTGGCAAATTACAGTATAAGTGCTGATTTAGGTGAAATCGGTTTTAAAAAACCAGTGTGTTAAATCGGTTATTAGAAATACCAGAATTAAATTAGTAAAACCAAAACTTCATGTTTTCACTCTCATTTATCTTTATTTAAATGTATATGGTATAGTGTTTAAAAAAGTTCAGAGTTAAAGAGTGAAAAAAAAAATTGTTTTTTCTATTTTTTTAGAAGCAGGGGCTGAAAGTACTTATCCATATAGTATAGGTGGACCAATGCCGTACATGACTATTCAACGGTATACGAGTGTCGAGAAGGCACGGAAATTAAGCCCTTCACCGCCTCCTCCTCCGCCTCTTTCACTAGTGCCATCTATATATTCTGATGACTATCCAGCACCTTATGCTACCCTGCCTTTACATTACAGCGCTTCCAATAGGTGGCGCTCTATTCAAAATGGAGGATCAGTGCCAGATCAGGTAATTAGATTTGTTGATTTTTTGTTTGTTTTTAAGAAACACGAGTGTATACATTTGCATGATCATATTCGCGTAAAGACTTGTCCCCAATATAAACTATAAACGGCTGCTATTTGCTTTTGTTAACTATACAAAAAAAACAACAGCAAAAAACATTACACGTTTGTAGCGAAGAATTTAATGTTATTAAAATGATATTTATTTTATTGACATCAAATCGAAACAACTTAGAATCTTAATTGCAGCTAAAATGGGGTAAAAAAAGTAAAATATTGAACAGTTTTTACTGAAAGATGATTTTAGGTGACGTTCAGGAGGGACGTCCTGTATTTTTTACCGAATAGAACATTTTAATCGTGACCTAATGGTTAGATATTTCGGACTGTGAATCCGAGGGGCCATGGTTCGCAACCCTTTATAACAAAAATTCTATACACACTTTGGGGATATGGGTGCGTTATAAGAATGACGGTCAAGTACTACTATTCGATCAGAGAAGAGTAATCGAAGAGTTAGCCATGGAGATTGCCTGGACTCTAACATGTAAGTTAAAATTTAGGGACGAGTGTGTTCATATAGCCTTTTATGTAGCTTTGCGCGAGATTCTCTAGCAAAAAAATTAACCATAGTGAAATATAATTAGTATCACCATATCTAAACTAGATATATCTATTGTTAGGTATTTTTTGTTTTTTAAAGATACTTTTAAGTAGCGTTAATTTGGTCAACTATAAAGAGGACTGATGTCGTTAAGGGTCTAAAATTAAACACTTCCTTACAAAAAAAAAGTGAATAAGGAGGAAATGTGGTTAAACAAACTTTATAATTTCGAATATTTAATCTGTCATAATGAATAGCAAAAAGTCATGTTAATTGCAGTATACTTCAAAGCTATGATTTAACAGAGGAAGTACAAGGAAAATGACATGGCCCGATTTAGAATAATCTCATGTAGAATAAGGAGTTGATGCTTGAAGAGAATTGTGTCTTCCTTGAAAACTAGTTTGTTGCAAGTTTCACGGAAGGCTTGAAGATGCAGAACATCTATGGGAATAATAAAGCACTGTGAAAGATACGAAACACTAAGTATATCCGCATGTGGACTAACGAAGTATTTGGGAAAATATGAAACCCTAAGTGTATCCGCATGTGGACTAATGAAGTACTGGGGAAAATATGAAACCCTAAGAGTATTTGCATGTGGACTAACGAAGTACTGTGAAAGATATGAAACACTAAGTGTATCCGCATGTGGACTAACGAAGTACTGTGAAAGATATTAAACACTAAGTGTATCCTCATGTGGACTAACACTTAGTGTTTCATATCTTTCACAGTACTTCAATATCTTCATGTGGACTAACGAAGTACTGGGGAAAATATGAAACCCTAAGAGTATCCTCATGTGGACTAATGAAGTACTGTGAAAGATATGAAACACTAAGTGTATCCGCATGTGGACTAATGAAGTACTGGGGAAAATATGAAACCCTAAGAGTATCCGCATGTGGACTAATGAAGTACTGTGAAAGATATGAAACACTAAGTGTATCCGCATGTGGACTAACGAAGTACTGTGAAAGATATTAAACACTAAGTATATCCTCATGTGGACTAATGAAGTACTGGGGAAAATATGAAACACTAAGTGTATCCTCATGTGGACTAACGAAGTACTGTGAAAGATATGAAACACTAAGTGTATCCTCATGTGGACTAACGAAGTACTGGGGAA